GTAGCAGTAGCAGTAGCAGAAGCAGTAGCAGTAGCAGTAGCAGTAGCAGTAGCAGTAGCAGTAGCAGTAGCAGTAGCAAGAGTAGTAGTAGTAGTAGTAGTAGTAGTAGTAGTAGTAGTAGTAGATCACTAGTAGTAGTCGTAGTAGTAGTAGTAGTAGTAGTAGTGGTAGCAGCCGTAGCCGCAGTAGCATTAGCAGTAGCAGCAGCAGCAGCAGCAGCAGCACCAGTAGTAGTACGTACAGTAGTAGTAAATGTCAGCAGGAGCAGCACGGAGCGGACGAAGTCAACATCTTGCTTCAGTTTAAGCCTTTTCTTTCAAGCTACCGTCGCAAACACCTATGGAGACACGAGAACGTGAGCCCACTACTGAATCTCTTCAATCGCCTGCTCCAACGCCTGAATTTCCTTGCCTCATGCTCGACAACTGAACCGACTGCGATGCGCATTTTCGACGAAGTACGACGAATTCGGTGTTAAAGTTCCTTGTCGCTACTGCGCTGGCTTCCGAAAGCATGCAATAATTGTACAAGCTCTGCTTTCAGAGCGCCTGCTTGGGCAGCAACTTCTGTGCACCCGATAAGAAAACTTGCGTACAAACTAATTTTGCGACATGGGGATAGAGGCCCTCTCAGGACTCTCTTCGAGCAACACTTCTTGTGAGTGCCCACTGAAAAAATGCATTGGATTCTCTTAAAATCAAAAAGATACCGTTTCAGATGCGCTTGCAGACCTGGCATTTTGGCCCAACCTTTGTAAAAGACTGCTTGTGGCGAAGCCCACGTTCGCGAGGTTTTTCTCCAGCATCTGTCCCATGAGGTCTCTGATTTGTTCATCCATGCTCTCTAGGCTGCCCAACGACGACACGATGAAATCGAAGATACGTGTCCTGCGACAAAACTCTTCGGCTCTGCGGGCTGAAATTGGCTTAAGTCATGCGCTAGTTGCCTGTCCTGTCCCCATCACTTGAAGCATCGCAATTCGCGACTTGCAAAGACTCGATCTTCTTGCCAAGCTCCAGCGCAATGTCGAAGGATGTGCAGCCATCGTCTCCTATGACACCAACATCGGTTGCAAACACAAGCTCCAACTCGAGTTGCTTGGAGAGGAGGAACTCGAACAAGCACCAGACTCCTGATATCATTGCATGGTGCTCCTATGTGCTGCTACTATCCTCCTAAACAAACATAAACATCCACCGAGTGCGAACTGTTGGAACTCCTTGCAAGCCGTCTTTGAAACTTTGTTTGAAACCTTTGAAGCTCAGTGCAAAAGCCCTCGTAAGAGGCAGGGCTCTGGTCAAGGGCTGGACTTCGTGGTCCAAAACCATGGCCACACCCTTGATGCCGCC